CCTCCCTCGTGGCCCCCTCCTCCCGCTCGCACAAACTCCTCCCCCTAGCGTGACCTCCCCCTCCCACTGGTGCGACCTCCTCCTCCCCCTCCCGCACGACCTCTTGCAACCTTTCATCCCAGTGTGCGACCTGCTCCTACCCCTCCCATGACCTCCTCCCTCGTGCACAACCCACTCCTCCCCCTCTTCGGGCCTCCTCCCCCTCGCGCGACTTCCTCCTCCCCTTCACGGGACCTCCTCCTTGTCCTTGTGCAACCTATTTTTCCCCTTGCACATCGTCTTCCAACCTCCTCTTCCCCGTCACGTGACCTTCTCCCACCTCTCTTTTGACCTCCTCTTGCTCCTCCTCCTTGCGCAACCTCCTCCTCACCTCTCATTGTCCTCTTCCGACCTCCTCATCCCATTCCGGCGACCTCCTTCCACCTCCCATCCGGCCTCCGCACGACCTCATGCAACCTCTCGTCCTCCTCATTCGACCTGCTCATCTCCCTCGCACTACCTCCTCCTGCCCCTTGCACGACCCACTCCTCCCCCTCTTTCGACCTCCTCCTCTCCCTTGTGCAACCTCCTCCTAGGCTCCTCCCCCTCTTGCAACCTCCTGCTCGTCCTTGCGCGACCCACTCCTCCCCCTCACACATCATCTTCCAACCTCCTCCTCCCCCTCGCACGACCTCCTCCTACCCCTCGTGCGACCTTCTCCTACGCGCGAGCTCCTCCTACCCCTCGCGCGACCTCCGTCCTACCCCTTGAACGACCTCCTCCTACCCCTCGCGCGACCTCCTTCTCCCCCTCACGCGACTTCCTCCCCCTCTTCTGACCTCTCCCTTGCTCGACCTCTTCCTCCCCCTCACACAACGTCCTCCTAATCCTTATGCGACCTCCTCCCCCTCACACGTCCTCCACCCACCTCCTCATCCCCCTCGCACGACCTCCTCCTCCTCCTTGTCGCGATGTCTGCTTCCCCCTCGCATGACCTCCTCCCACCTCTCTTCCGACCTCCTCCTCCTCCTTGTCACGACGTCCACTTCCCCCTCGCACAACCTCCTCCTCCTTGTGCGACCTCCTCATCCTCCTCGTTCCTACCTCCTCCTCCCCCTTGCGCGATGTCCTCCTCCCCCTCGCAACCTCCTCCCTCCTTAATGAATTCTCGTCGTCTGACATGCTTATCGTCGTCCTCCTTTTCGTCCCTCTTTCTCCTTTTGTTCCATCCTCCTCCTCTTTCCTCCATTCTAATCATCCCCACGCTCCTCTTTTTCGTTGTTCCTCCTCGTCCTCGCTGCTCCTCATAATGCCTCCTTTGTTTCGATCGGCCCAAACATGCTTCTCCCTCTTCATCCTCCCTCTTTCTCCCACCCTTCCTGCTCTGAGCGCACACGTGCCACATGCCCCAAATGTCTTTCTCCCTCTTCCTCCTCCCTCCTCCTACGTTGATCCTCCCTCCTCCATCACATCTTTCCATCGCCGCCCTTTTCCATATCAACGCGACCCCCGCCCGACACCGTGGACTGGCGGGAAACAAAATTGAATGGGGGGGTTGAAAGAAAAACTGTGGCAGCGGGGAACGGGACTTTGTGTCCTCCCGACATTGCAGAGCGGGGCGTGTCGCGTGGAACCGCCACACCGAATTTCCCTCACTCCCGCCCGCAGTCCCGCCACGAAACGTCGCGGCCGATTTACCTTGCCCCAGTTCCGCCCGCCTCCACACCGAATTTCGTTGGGCCCAGCAGGAAGCGTCACACTGGGCCCTTTGCATTCTTTAAGAGTATAGGGATAGAGAAGTGATAGAGCTATACATGTATTTATTTCAGAATCCATAGAAGGGTGGAGTGCAAAAGGCAACTTACCTAAGACAAAGGACTCCACCAGCAAGAAAGCATCGACCTCATCTGTGTGTGTGTGTGTGTGTGTGTGTGTGTGTGTGTGTGCGCGCGCGTTGTAGGCCCAAACCCCGTTAGACTTTCGAGCCTGTGTCGGCCCCGCTGTCCGTCCCATTTGGCTCGGCCCGCCCGCGCTCATGCTCAGGGCGCGGGCCCTTCGTCACAGGGTCACCCCCACCTAGTGCTTTGAGACGGATGGGGGTGGGCCATCGGGCGAGAGAGCTTTGACATTGGGGATGTAGCTCAGCCCTCACGCCGAGTGGTAGTCTTGCTGACCTTTCCACAAGTGTAGTTTTTCTGATTCTCGGTTGTGTTCGCAGGCTATTGCTCCTTCCAATACTCAAGCAGTCCAGAGGTTCTTTTTGAGGGTTTTTCGTTTGTGCGTAGCCTAAGTGTCATCCTTAGGCCACACACCATTTCCCTAACACAACAGTCTCATGGCATCATCGGGGGGCGGCAATGCCGTCTTTCCCCTTTGCCCCTATGCATTTTTGTGATCCAGATATTATATTCGTGGCTTTGTTGCCTGCCCCTCAGTCTTTTCGCGGCCTCCATCCGCACACAAAGGGCTACTTCGCATTCCAATCATTCAAGACTTCAGTCCCTTCTCAAATGACACTCAAGGTCTCATACACAAAAAGCACCATTCATAGGTAGAGTTTACACTAAGGTCCCTTGCCCCTTTGCCCTTTAGTATCACTTTTGTCGCATGGCCTACCCGGCCCATTGTCACCTATGTCATTCCAATGCTACTCACCTGCACAATCAAACACAAATGCAAAGACCAATACAATCCCCCATTGGGGTCAACACATAGCCCTTCCCACATGCCTAAATCTTTCTTCTTTGTTGTAGACGTTGTAGACTTCCTTCCATTTCCTTTCTTCTGCCCAGTCAATCCATCCTCTTTCCTTAGTCATGCAGTTGGGGTCTTGGTTGAGTCAACTGACCTCTCTTCTCAATCAACAATCTCTTTCTTTAGTCCTCTTTCGGCTAGGCCACTTCCCATCTCACAACGTTTTCCGTTCGCCGTTCTCAAGTGTTCCTTTCTTTTCCTTCTTGGTGGTACAAGGGACCGACACTCCTCCCCTTGCCCTCTTTCTCCACCAAGTGAGTTCAACTCTCTTTCACCGTTCCGTCCCCTGGCAATGTAACAAGTGAGTGGGAGAGGTTAGTCGCATGCTAAATGGGAAGAGAAAAAGGTTTAGACTCAGGTTATGGGAGAGGTGGAGGAAAGAGGACCATAGGACGAAATAGAGGAACGGGAGAGAGAGAGAGAGAGAGTGAAGGACAGAGAGAGAGAGAGAGGAAAAGAGAGAGAGAGAGAGAGTGAAGGAGAGAGAGAGAGAGGGGGGGAGAGCGAGCGAGAGTGAGGGAGAGAGAGAGACAGAGGGAGCGAGGGAGAGAGAGAGAGAGAGAAAGACTCCCTGATCCTAATCACGCCTTATCCTTTCTTGACCTACCGTCCCCCGTTCAACATCTGAAAAGTGAGAGAAAGACTGAACATCACAAGTGTGACTATCCTACACATGCACATTGAGCTATGGAGGCAACAAGATCTCAACCAGCACATCACCAAGTGAGAGAAAGACTGAACAACACACGCATGACTAACCTACACATGCACATAGACCCATGGAAGCAACAGATCTAAACCGGCACATCACCAAGTGAGACAAAGACTGAACAACACAAGTGTGACTAGCCCACACATGCACATACAGCTATGAAAGCAACATATCTGAACCGGTACATCATCAAGTGAGTCAAAGACTGAACAACACAAGCGTAACTAGCCTACATAAGCACACAGAGATATGAAGGCAACAAGATCTGAACCGGTACATCACCAAGTGAGAGAAAGACTGAACAACACAAGTGTGACTATCCTACACATGCACACAGAGCCATGGAAACAACAGATCTAAACCGCCACATCACCAAGTGAGAGAAAGACTGAACAGCACAAGTGTGACTATCCTACACATGCACATACAGCTATAGAAGCAACAAATCTGAACTAGTACATCATCAAGTAGAGAAAGACTAAACAGCACAAGTGTGACTATTCTACACATGCACATAGAGCTATGGAAGCAACAGATCTGAACCGGCACATCACCGAGTGAGAAAAAGACTGAACAGCACAAGTGTGACTACCCTACACATGCACATAGAGCTATGGAAGCAACAAGATCTGAACCAACACATCATCAAGTGAGAGAAAGACTGAACAACACAAGTGTAACTAGCCTACACATGCACATAGAGCTATGGCGGCAACAAGATCTGAACCGGCATATCACCAAGTAAGAGAAAGACTGAACAACACAAGTGTGACTATCCTACACATGCACAGAAGCAACAAGATCTCAACCGGCACATCATCAAGTGAGAGAAAGACTAAATAGCACAAGTGTAGCTACCTTACACATGCAAAGAACTATGGAGGCAACACGATCTCAACCAGTATATCGTCAAGTGACAGAAAGACTGAACAACACAAGTGTAACTAGCCTACACATGCACATAGAGCTATGGAGGCAACAAAATCTGAACTGGTATATCATCAAGTGAGAGAAAGACTGAACAACACAAGCGTAACATGCCTACACATGCACAAAGAGGTATGGAGGTAACAAGATCTGAATCCGTACATCATCAAGTGAGACAAAGACTTAACAGAACAAGCATAACTAGCCTACACATGCACATAGAACTATGGAGGCAACAAGATCTGAACCGGCACATCACCAAGTGAGAGAAAGATTGAACAGCACAAGTGTGCCCGCCTACACATGCATATAGAGCTACAGAGGCAGCGAGATCTGAACTGGCACATCACAAGTCAGAGAAAGACTGAACAACACAAGTGTGACTATCCTACACATGCACATAGAGTTATGGAACCAACAGATCTGAACCGGTACATCATCAAGTGAGGGAAAGACTGAACAACACAAGTTTGACTACCCTACACATGTATATAGAGCTATGGAGGCGACAAGATCTGAACTGGTACATCATCAAGTGAAAGAAAGACTGAACAACACAAGTGTAACTAGCCTACACATGCACATAGAGCTATCGAGGCAACAAGATCTGAACCAGCACATCACCAAGTGAGAGACAGACTTGACAACACAAGTGTGACTATCCTACACATGCACATAGAGCTACGGAAGCAACAAGATCTGAACCGGCATATCATCAAGTGAGAGAAAGACTGAGTGTCCTCTCTTTGGTAAGGAGTCGTGTGCGCTCTATCTTGAGAGACGACATTCTTCCCGATGGCGCATCTGGCAGGAGAGGGCGGTGCCTCTGAAGGGCCCTGGTCGAAGCACGTGGGTCACGGTCACCATGCCAACCCAATGGGATTAGTACACGCATGCGATGGCTGCTTTGTCCATTCAGGCTCTTTGCTGCGATGATAGAAGGGGTGTGCGGTCTGACCAGTCCTATTGAGACGCTCCCAGACCCTCTATAAACATTTCTGGTTGGGGTCTGATCTGTCCACTAGCTGTGATCGTCGTCCTGTATGCGACGTTAAATATCTCCTGAGGAGATGGGGGCTCCCCTTAAATCTCTCCTGATCAGCCAGATCAGTCAGACGTAAGGCTCGTTGCACGCGAGGATAAACAACGGGGCAGGCTGGTCATAAGCATACTTCTTGGGCACAGGGGTGGGGCGTGGTTGCACACCTTAGACACCGCAGCTTGATGATGCTCACAGGTACGTTGGATACAGGGGAAGGGGATTCCAATTGTGAACTCAACTGTATATCACTGACATATCCATTGTGCATACATCTGCTCACACTAGTCTAAGTTTCTATTTGATTAGTTGGTTGACCGACTGCTGACACCTAACAGACAGACTAGAGTAGGATTGTAATCTACCATAGTCAGTTCTTCTCGAATCGTCTGTGCAGACTAATCAGAATAAGAGTTAGACGCATGCTGCGGTAGGTTCCAGGAGGACATTAGTGCAGACAGCGTCTGCCTAACCTATGAGTGGATCAGAAGGTGGTGAGGGTGCAGATGAAGATAGGAGGTTAACAAGGCTATCATCCCTTAGAATTCCTAGAGTGTTCCAGACCCTACAACCGGGAGAAGAGAGAAGATTAAGGGCTGAAGCTAGGGCCCGTAATCTTGAGGCTGCAAGAGAAGCAACAGCCGCTAGAGCAGTAGCAATGAGTAATGCTACTTCCGCAGCAACTGCTGCGAACTCAACTGGTCAAGGGCTAGGCATGCCTACCAGTTCACAGTCAATCTCCAGTACGTCAGGGGTTGGCACTAGTCAAATGGCGGGCTCGCAGTTCAGCTCGCCACCTCCACGCACCCGGGAGCAGATGGAGCTCCAACAAGTAGAGAGGATCCGCTTGAGGCTAGAGGAGGAACTAAGGCAGGCTACTAAAAGAGAGAAAGAGATCAAAGAAAGAAGTGTCAGATTAGAGGGCAGGGAACCAGACATGGCTGCGCTAGAGGCACAAGAGCACTCCACACTCAACACTACAGGAAAGATCCTGAAGGCAAGTGTCCTATCCATGCATGCGTACATAGATAGTAAAATGGACGCAATGCAGGATACTCTAGACCAGATTCTGCAAGCGCTGCATAAGCCAAGGATTCGGCCAGCAGCTTTACCATCGTTGCCACTCTCAGCGATGACAGGCCTCTATGCAACTCAATCAGGACCACCACCAACTGTATCATCAACAATAGCTCTATCTCAGACTGTTGCTTCTTCGTCTTCTGGTACAGCTACTGTTGCTACACCACCGTCGCCACCTGTCTCGCAACCGGGACAGCAATATCCTTGGTACCCCAAGATCCCACTGAACCCACCTGCAACCTTCTAAGGAGACAAGAAGGATGAGGCTCTCGACACATGGTTGAGAACGGTGCCAGTGTGGGTGAGGGCAAAAAGGACATTGGTAGAAGAGGAAGTGATTACTGCTGCATCCTACTAAGAGGGTTCAGCAGCCCGCTGGTTAAATGGATTGGTAGCTTCAAAGCGCTTCGGCAAGAACATGCATGATTGGGCGCAGACCCACACATTAGAAAGCTTTATGGACTTAGTGGCGGCTCGTTGGCACAACCCTCAACAGGCACAGATTGCCACTAATGGGCTCTTGAAACTGGATACTAAAAAGTACAAGTCTGTGTGGGAACTCACCACAGCCGTAGAGCGCCTAATCGTCGTCCCGGGAATGGAGTACAATGCACTGGTCTTGCGGACCATGTTCCAGAGATGTCTTCCCACATACATTAGGAATTTATTAGCCAGCGAGGCTCGCAGAGAGTATCACACCTTTGAGTCGTTCAGCAAGAAGGCCCTAGACTTAGAGGCTACGCTGGGTGGAGCTCAAACCCCTTCTACGGACGGGAGAAAGAAGAAGACTCCACAAGAGTGGAAGAAGAAAGGTAGTCGATTGATGATGGCTGATTCCGATGGAAATCAAACCGAGATCGATGGTGTTTCCGATCTTGTGGAGGGTTCAGAGTTTGACGGCGAGGAGAGTGCTGAGGGTAGCAACCTCGCCGCCGTAGTTAAGACTAAGGCAGCTGGCCGCGGCAAGGGCGGTCAACAAAGGAGTCAGGGGCAGGCCGCTAACCCGAACAAAATAGCTGCTTGGGTTAGAGCAGGTCTGGATCAAGAAGTGTGGCGGGACCGTTGGTCTCGTGGTGCTTGTATTAACTTCGGTGAGTATGGTCACACACAGTTTAAATGCAAGAACCCGAAGGTCTCACAGAAGATCCCTCCCAAGGGTGGGTTCTCTTTTTCTCAATCTGGGGCCTCTACGAGCTCCAACTCGGGAAACACTTAGGGCCAGTAGAAGTTATAGCTGCTTCTACTCTCGTTGAAGCGGGTGATGTACCCTCCCCGTTTCAAGAGATGGCCAAAGCTATTGACTCCTTAGTCACCCCGCAGACGCATCCGGACCCAACTATACTCTGTACGTTGGATGTGTCTGAGGCCTTAGAGAACCTTCAAGGCGAGTGGTCGGCAAGGGACCCTCGTGAGTCCATGGTGGCACTGAGCAGAGGTCCTAGAGGGGAGCACTTCCTTGTGGAAGTTGATGTGGGCGGTAGCAAGTGCGGCGCCTTCGTCGCCTTCGTAGACATTGGCTCCACACGGAACTTCATAAGTCACGACTGCGTTGACAGACTGTGCCTAAAGGACCGGGTGCAGCGCCTTAGTAGACCGGTAGCATCTACTTTGGCCAACAAAGAGCGCATGATGGTGGAGGACTACGTAAAAAAGGTAGTCATCACCTTCTCCTACCCTGGAGGAGAGATAAACCATAAGATATCTTTCCTGGTGAGCGACGCGTTCCCCTTTGACATGTTGTTGGGCATGTACTACCTCAAGGTTGCCAAGCCCCAGTTTGACTGGGACAAGAAAGTGTTGAAGCATGAGTTGCCTAGTGGGAGAACCATGAGACTGGCCAAGTACAAAGCCAGTAGGTTAGTAGACTCATATGGGTGCTTATGCGCATCTGCTTTCTATAATTATTATAAACAGAACCAAGAGGAAGGAATGTACTTAGTCTATGTCTCTGCAAAMRGGGAGGCCRTTAAAACACCCCCARAGATAGAGACCATCGTCGCTAAGTACCCAGATTTGTTCGAGGAGCCTACAGGAGTCGTAGAYARGGAGATTGTCCATGCCATAGAGATTATCCCAGGAAGTGAAACACCTAAGGGTAGAATCTATAGGATGGCTCCAGCCGAGTTSGACGAACTTCGGCGGCAACTGAAAGAGCTCACAGAGAAGGGTTGGATTCAGCCTAGCACTTCCCCCTTTGGCTCACCAGTATTGTTTGTTCCAAGGAAAGGGGGAACACTAAGGATGTGCATTGATTATAGAGGYCTCAATGCCATCACTGTTAAGAACGCAGAGCCTCTACCACGCATCGACGACCTATTGGATAGGGTGCAGGGGTGTAAGTACTATACAAAGATAGACTTAAAATCCGRCTACCATCARATTGCCATAAGACCAGARGACCARCACAAAACCGCATTTCAGACCAGGTACGGTCTGTACGAGTTTGTGGTGATGCCTTTTGGCCTTTGCAATGCGCCGGGTACATTCCAGCACGCCATGAATAGGATCTTCCATGACTACTTAGACAAGTTTGTTGTCGTGTACCTCGACGCCATACTTATCTTAAGTAGATCTGTCGAGGAGCATGCTCGGCATGTAGACAAAGTACTTTCACTCCTTCGACGACACAAGTATAAGATAAACTCTGAGAAATGCGAGTTTGGTCGCACTCGAATCTTGTACTTGGGTCATGAGGTATCCGCGGATGGAATTAGGCCCAAAGATGCGAGAAGGTGGCTAACATTTGTGACTGGCCACGACCCCAGTCTGTGACTGAGGTCAGATCATTCTTGGGAATGTGTGGTTATTACCGCAATTTCGTAAAGAATTATAGCACGATTACATCTCCCTTAACTGATCTAACTCGACTCGATACACCACGGGACTGGACCGACGAGTGTGAGGCAGCTTTTAAGCGTTTGAAGCATGCTCTCACGCATCATGAGGTTCTCATGGTACCCGACCCGCAAAGACCATTCGTTATAACCACTGACGCAAGCCAATATGGGATTGGCGAGTGCTGGCTCAGCAGGAAGGGAAGAAGTTGAGACCGATCGAGTACATGAGCAAAAAGATGCCTTCAAAGAAGTTGGCAAGTCCACCTACGAGAGGGAACTCTATGCTCTTTACAAGGCACTTGTCCACTGGAGGCACTACCTGTTAGGAAGGTTCTTTTACTTGAGAACTGACCATTAGAGACTCAAGTGGATCAAGACTCAACCAGTTCTCTCCGATGCACTCAAACGTTGGATTGAAGTCATAGATCAATATGATTTCAAACTAKACTATTTGAAGGGAGAGTACAACAASGTTGCAGATGCGTTGTCTAGGAGGGCAGACTACCTAGRTGCGCTGATTTYTGAGTTTGGTTTGTGTGAGGACGTGACTCGATCGTTGGATGAAGCCTACAAGGAAGATCCCATCACGATGGGCATCATCAACAAACTACAGGCTAAACATAAGGCCACCACTGATGAGTTTGTGATGGTGGATGGGTTGCTCTTTCTTGAGAAGGCAGGGTTCAAGAGGTTAGTTGTTCCATGTAGAGAGACTTTGCGTAGTTTATTTTTAGGTGAGTGCCACGACGCAATGGGACACTTCGGCTATAAGAAGACGAGTGCTAATTTAGTACAGCGATTCTGGTGACCCAACATGCTTGACGATGTGAAGAAGTACATGGAGACCTGTCAGGTCTGTCAGCGGGACAAGCCGCGGACTCGAGCTCCGCTTGGGTTACTCGAGCCTTACTAATTCCTGCTGGCCTAGGGCAGAGTATCTCCATGGACTTCATGGATAATCTTGTGACCAGCAAGAATGGCAAGAGGAACATCTTCGTCATAGTGGATAGGTTCACTAAGTACGCTAGACTAATCGCCATGCCAGAGACTGCCAGGACTGAGCACGTCATCAAGTTGTTCATGGACAACTGGGTGCGTGATTTTGGATTGCCTAAGTCTATCGTTAGTGATAGAGATGTCCGTTTCACTAGTGAGATGTGGAAGAAGGCCGCTGAACAGATGGGCAGCCAGCTTCAGATGACTTCTGGGAGTCATCCCGAAGCAAATGGACAGGCTGAACAGATGAACCGAGTGGTGCAGCATCTGCTGAGGTATTACATCAAGCCCAACCAGGATGATTGGGATGAGAAGTTACCTCTCATCGCCAGTCTGTACAACAACGCTGTACACAACACCATCGGTGTCAGTCCTAACCAACTACATCTGGGATGGAAGCCTAGATCTGCTCTAGACTTCCTCCTGCCTGAAAATCGAACTGCTACAACTCCTGGAACCATCGAATTTGGTGTCTTGTATGAGAAACTGCTGCAGCAGACTGTCGAACACATTAAGAGATCTCAGGAGGTCATGATTGCTTCTGAGAACAAGCGTGGTGGACAGTCCACATTTCAGGTAGGGGAACGTGTCTGGGTCAGGCTAGTGAATTGGGACAGGATTTTGGCATCTCTAAGAAACTAATGCCTCAGTATTTTGGTCCCTAGGAAGTCCTGGATATCGTGGGGAATGATTTGGATGGTCCCTCATACGTTATTCGTATCCCTGGTCACTTCCGCACTTACCCTGTTTTCCACGCTTCCAAACTTGCACCTTTCACTGAGACAGCACAGTTCCCATCACGGAGATCTATGCTGCCCCCAACCATGGATGGCCACGTGGACGTCGACGATATCCTGGATCACAGAGATACGCCTGTTCCTAAGCCACCTGGTAGGGGAAGACCTCCCAAACCTGCGAGGGAATACAGAGTACATTTCAGGCATCATACAAATCCGAAGCAAGATCGATGGATTTCAAGGGAGGAACTTGTCAAGACAACTCCTCATATCGTGGCCGATTATGAGAAAAGACTGAAGGGGAAGGCACCAGCATGAAGCATCTCAACGGACTTTCGAAGCTAAGGGGGATGGAATGTGAGGAACAAGCCCTCAAGTGGCCCTTTCAGACATCACATTGTTTTGGGCCAAGGCCCCAGCAAGCCAAGTGCCCGCCCTAAGTGAAGGGAGGCCTGAATATTCGTCATAGGCCAAATTCGACATTTCCATATGTGGGTATTCAGGCTCTTGCAGCGCGTCAGTTGGTTGAGTGAACGCGCGAGCCTCACTAAGCTGCACCGTACAGTTGGCCCAAGCCACGAAAGTTGTGCTTGAGCACCTACACATAAAGCAGGGTCGATACATTGAGAAGCAGGCCGTCGGCCTCTGGAAGAGCAGTACAGTTGATGCACCTACCTGGGGGCCCTGCGCAGATGCAGCTAACAGCCCAAGTCCGGAGACTCAGGCCGCGCCCAACTGTAAAGGGCCCAGGCCCTCAACTGTAAGTCTCGGCCTGGGCACAGGGTCTGAGACCCAACCAAAAGCTACTGGAAGCTTCCAGCCAGGCCACACGCAGCATGCATCAGGCTGCCACTTCCATAAAGGAAGTGAGGCAGCCCAGGCCAGGCATTCTGGCCAGTGCTGGCAATGCGGATGCTGCTGCGTTCTCGCTTGATGCTGCGCTGCTGCCAAGGGCGCTGACGGGGCACGAGAGGTGAAGTGGGGCGCTGCAGGGCAGCGGGGCGCAGACGGCCATAGCCGGGCTGCTAGGCGCCAGGGGGTACAGCGGATGATCGAGTGGTCTTCAGGGGAGTGAGGCGCTGTGTGGGATAATCAAGGTCTGATTGAGGGTGACGAGTTACATACCTGGTACATGAAGAGAGGTCGCCGATGGTGTTGACAGTCACGTACATTGGTCTTCGTGAGCCGAAGTGATCCTGTTGTGTGAACCAGCTGTAGAGTAGGATAGTATGGTAGAGTAGGCTGGGCGCTGTGCGCCAGACAGAGAGAGCGACTCTGGATACTGTGTTGGTGTGGCCTACGGGCTAGGACATTGGCTCAATACTTCATTGTATTGCTCTTTATGGATGGTTTTCTCGGTGCATTTGCACTCTCTACTTGGGACATTACTACTTGCTCAGCTGTGTGATTTCGCAATTTGGTTTTATGTATATCGCTCACACTCATATTCCTTGCATAACGAAATGCTGTGGAAATTTTCTCATTTTACTTAGCCTTCTTATTGACGGCACACTTCGACCCCGTCGGGGTAACGAAATGCTGCTGAATTTTTTGAAAAATACGACACTTCATTTCTCTTCACCTCCTCATCTTGCAATCAGACTCGCTTTCTTTCACACTTCACATGCATGTGAACAGGTCGCTCAGCAAACCGGCGATAAGCGCCCACTCAAAGCTCAGAGATATGGTAACCCACAACACAGTTCAGATACAAACTCGCTTCAGATGGCTATGGCGCGTCAGTGCCTGTACAACTCTCTGTTCGTCACTGCGCCCTACTCGACTTTTCACACACACTCAACTTAGGATCACCCTGGATATCCCACACACGACACACTGTTCACACACGCGCACACACACTCCTAGCTATGGTGGCCATGGCCGCTACTACCTCTACCGCTATGACTAAGTTCTCCTTCGGCCCACTTCGTCTTCGCACATACTGCAGACCACCTCGCACAAGTCGTTGTAGTAGCGCTTAGGCATGGCTTACCCAGGAATGAATCCATGGTTGGGCGCTACCTTTTGATTTATACTTTTGTAACTCGTTAGTCTGTCCGTTTCCCATGCCCGTGGTGCACACAGTCCCATACGGTACTTGCTTGACTGGACTAGGACTGACCCCCACTGACTGGGACTAGTGCCGCTGACTCAGCAAGGGTGGATTTCACCACTTTCCCACTTGCCTCTGTCTAGACGTGAGCCAACTTCGAAAGGCCACTCTTGGGACCATCCGGAAATTTGTAGTCCTAGCCTTTCGAATACTATAGCAGCTACGACCTTGACCTTTCAGGACTGTAGCAGCTACCACGTCTAGAACTCCCTAAGACCTCTATATGACAGGTCTACAGATCGAACCCCTACAACCTACGGGCCCTACAACAGCCTACCGACTGTTATGAATACACAAGTCACGGGTTCAACTCTCGGGGTCGACGCAGGTAATGTACACAAGTAAGGTAAAGTCTAGGGATCGAGCCGTGGGACCTGCATTCGCTACTGCTAGCAGGTGAATACCGTTTCAATCTACTTATTTATTTATTTATTCTCTTTATTATTTATTTATTTATTTTCTGAAATTTTGAGTTTGCGCCATTTTGAAACTTAGTGTGCTTATCTTGGTCTCTCCTTTAGCACCGTGTTCGCGTTCGGAGGCAAACGCGAACATATTCGCCCGAACACGAGCAAGCGCCCAAAACTTTCCGAAAAGTTTGCGAGCTGTTCGCGCGAACGTGAAGGGGCGCGAACACGTTCGCTGTGCTACGCAGGCACATTCTTGACCCCATGGGGAGTACGGACATGCTGCCGAAAATTCCAAAAAGATAAATATTATTTCTCTCTTCACATTTTGTTTCCTTATTTCTTTAATTATTTTTATTATTTATTTATTTACTTATTTATTTTTATTTTTCTCTCGAAATTTCATTGTTTATTTATTTTTCCTCCCGCCTCCCCCCCCATGCTTGCTATTTTATTTTCTTGATTAGGTCACCGATACCCTACCCTAACCACTCAACCCTGTTTAGGGTGTTCTTAGGGTTTTTCTAGGGTTTAGGGTTTTCCTAACCCCCCCTACTCCCCCTTTCCATTCGGCCACCCTGGACCCGAATCACCCTTCCCCCTTTGCGGGCGCCCGCGCTCGACTCACTAGCGCCGGCCGTCGCTTTCTATCACGGACCCCCCCCTACGCCCTCCGCTCACGCGGACCTCCTCTGGCCCCCTCCAGTCCGACCCGTCACCTCCCCATGGCGGACAGCGTGTCACAAGCCGTGGACGCGGCGTCGACCTCGGCATCGGGCTCCATACCCGTACCGGCGGACCAGGGCCATCATCCCCAGGGGGATCTGCACACCCTCATCACCTCCCTCCTTGCGCCCTTACAAGCGCAGGTGGCGACTCTTGCCACTGGCCTCCGGCAACTCTAGGACGCTGGTCGTCCTTCCTCTCCCCACTCTCTCTCTTCTCCTATCTCCCAGTCCGGGTCCCCTGTCATCCGACATGGTGGCCACGGCAGAGCTTCCTCCTCTGTTGGCCCCGACCTGACCGTTCTGGTGACCGTCCACGCTCCTAGCGCGACGACTGCCACGGGCCAGGCCTTCCCTCACTCTACGGGCGAACCCGCCCAGATTCCGGTCACTACGACCACGGGACCACAACCCGCTGCCTTGGTCTCAACTTTTCCGGGTGCCCCGCTTCTCCCTCCCCTTCGCACGACCACCGCGCCACCTGGCTCTCCCCCTTATGGGATGCCCCGCCCCGCTCGTGCGTCTATTGCTGCCACTCCGCGCTCAATGTACGTTCGACGTCTTGAGGATGAGCTTGCCCAAACGCGGGCTGACCTCGCCCTCTTACGCCTTCAGCCACTCCTACCCTCACAGGTGGCCACGCCTTCGGGCGCACCCCCTTCTTCCTCTACCCTTCCTTCCATGTCGGGCTCGCTTCCCTCGCCCTGCACCCCCTCCACCTCCATCCTACCTTCTTCCTATTCCCTCGGTGGTTGCGACCTCTTCTACCGTAGCTCCCTCGCAGCCTGCCGCTGTTGCCCCCGCCGCTCCCCCATGTGGCCCGGTGTCGGGCAGCTGCCTACCAGCCAGGTACTCCTTTGTACCCAACAAAAGAAAGCTTTTGGGGTGTTTTTCTTAATTTTGGTATGTTCTGGTGCGTGAATGCGAATGGATGAGGGTCTTGGGGGTGATCTTGTTTTTTTATTCCCCGTACTGACCCTCGAACAGGCAAGGACGACCCGAGACGGTGGTTGCAAGCGAGGCCTAGCGCGGACGAGAAACCAGAATTTTGACATGGCACCCGAGAAGGGAGAAGGAGCGGTTGGCGTTGCGACTAAGGGGGGGGGAAGGTACTTAAGGAAAGTGATGACAGCCGCGGAGCTTGACAAAGTGGGCCAAGGAGCGTGCTTGAAGCTGGATGTGAGGCTAAGGATCTTGCAGCCCCCCCCCACAGCTCGATAACTTCCACGCGACGCGAATCGAGGCCTATTCACGACTTGCTGTGATTAGGGGAAATCAATGGACGTGGGCGGCATCTCTAGCTGGCAGTCAAGCTGGATCGTTTTCCACGGAAAAGCGGCCGCCGGTACGATGCTCGGAAAGAGAAGGGGATGGCCACTAACGATAATGGTGGGGCCGGCCAGGGATGATGATACGAGGGTGATCAAACGACCGCGCGGTCAGCTCGACGGAAGCAGGGGTTGTGGGGTCCTCTTCGGCTGGGCACTAAGTATCTAGGACCTGGGATGGAGTCAGCCTCGAACCTCGAGCGATACAGGAAAGGCCGCCCTGGCTAGCCGAGTGATTTGGATAGATGATGCGGCCCCTTCCCGAGGATCGAGCGGAGGAAGTGGGAAACGGCCAAGTACGTATTGACGAAAGGAAGGGAAGACGAACAGGCCAGATGCGGGGAGATCCGGGACCGTACCAGGTTCATAGGCTAAGTGAGGTAGGGAGAAGCGGACAGGTGGGGCCGACGCAGAAAATTGGCAAAGTCAAAAAACACGCTGACGGAAGGAGGGAGAGACGAACCGGCCAGGTGCACCAAGATCAAGAAGTGTACCAGATTCATAAGCAAAGTGAGATGGGAAGGGGGCTAACCGACGGGGCTGA